AATGAGTGATTTTAGCGGTTAGAAGAACAAGAAGAAGTTCCAAGATGGCCGCCACGGACCACAACAAACATTCAACTGTTTTCCCGAGCAGCCGCTCGCGCTCGGGAGCCCCAATAACCTACCAAATGTTATATCGCGCCTGTTGGAGTCAAACTTGGTTTTGTTAGAATCAGAAAATCGTGAAGAACACGATGGAAACGATATCGGACCTTCAAGAATGCTATTTAGTGTTAATCTATGAAAATAATAGTTCATGTTCACAATTTTAACAAACTAACACCATATCTTATTAACGAACCTGAAAAATTCGTCACGTATGTTCAAATGCTATTTTACGTGTTCCCCTCTTTCTTCCGATCAAAATGATACCAAATTTGACTCAAATAGGCGCAATATAACGTTGGGCGCGGGCGGCTGCTAGCAGCCGCTTCGGGAAAACAGTTGAATGTTTGTTGTGGTCCGTGGCGGCCATCTTGGAACTTCTTCTTGTTCTTCTAACCGCTAAAATCACTCATTGGGATTTTTTCCGCCTCACTTTGATCTACTTTTTGTTGGGATTGTGCGGTAGTGGGCGAGCCCAGTGGCAGTGGCCCTGAGCGCCGCATGACAGCGCGCTTCAAACTCACGTCGCCATGCGCTTTGTTGCAGACTGCCCCGCTGAGCCTGCTCGTCGTCCTGTTCGCCGTCCTCGGGCTGACACCCGCGGCGCAGTCGGCCAGCACGGCGGCGGCGCCAGTCAGCGCCAACGGCGCGCAATTTGCTGTGAGTATACGAGCTGCTTGAGACCACCACCAACCCTCCACCACCACCAACCCTCCAGCGCGCCACGTCTATCTGCTCCAGGTTGTCGAGGGGTGCGGTAACAACGATCGCCTCTGCATCGCTTACCCCGACAAGTGCGTCGCCAGCAAGACCTGCTCCCTGGTCGTGAGCGTGCGCCGGGGCTCCGCCGGCAAGTACGTGTTCGAGATGGCCGCCCAGTTCACCGGATACGTTGCCGTGGCGCTCGCCGAGTCCACCATGATGGTGAGCTCGAGACTTCTGCGTGTGTTGTAGGAGTGTCGCAAGAAGTCGCGGCGAGAAATGGCTCATGAATAAAACGTGTGTTTGCTTTGCGTGGGTGTAGGGTGTCGACAGCGTGGTCGAGTGCATCAACGACCCCAACACGAACAAGGTGGCGCTGTTCCAGTCCGTGAACAAGGCCCTGAACGCGACGACCGGCAAACGAGGGAACACCCGCCTTCCTGACACGGTAAGGAACCCACAGCATACAAAACGATGCCGAAACGATGTCGAAAAGGCCATCCGCAAATATCGCTTCGACATCGTTTGGATGGTTTGGACAGCCCCGACAGAAAACTCTGGGAGCTGAACTGAAGTGGCACGTGCACGTGACAAGTGGCGCGGACACTTCCAGCGCGTGCTGCACGTGCTCAGTGCACGTCACGCCGCCGTCACGCCCCACGCTCGGTCGTCACAGTTGAACAGGTGATAACGCGGCAATTTGCGTACGCCCTTGCAGGAGCAGCTGGGTGTTCAGCTCACCAACGGGAAATCCGCGGACGGCGTCGTCTACTGCTCGTTTGAACGCGATCCGGTCACCACCGTGAGAGGCAAGAAGTACGACCTGGAGAACGGCGCCTGGGTGCTGCAGGCAGCCGGCGGCGACCAGATCAACGGTAAGTACCGGTCGGGGAACTCCAACGGGTTCATACAGATGACTCTGGTGCTTAATGCCCCCGTGTGTCTGCTGCCTTCAGCCGACAGCAGCATCCACCATCATATGGAGTGGGTGGTCTCCTCCGACCAGGTGAAGCTCTCGGACACGGGACTGTTAGAGAGCTTCGGACACAGCCGCGCCCCGTCCGCGTCCGGCACGGTCCGCGTCGCAGCCGGCGGGCTCACCGTCGTGGCCGCCCTCCTGGCCTTCTGTGCGAGATAAGCCCCGGAAGGAGCCAAGACTCTACACTTGCACGCACACTCGCACACCTCCCACCCTCTCTCATGTGGTGCACGGCCCGACGGCTGGGAGGCACTTCTAGTCTGATGGGAGGGTGCAGAGCTACAAGCCTATGGCCTTCAAGGCGCTTTCTAGGGGCTGTCTGATCAAAGGAGGCCAGGAAAAGAATTAGTTCAGTTCGTTGGAGCAATATAGACTTTTAATAGAAACAATAAAATATAATATCACATGGAAATGCAAAAGTGAATCTACTTCCGAGTATAATTACTTTAATTCAGATCATACTATGGGTCTGAATGATGTTTGATCCTTTAATGAAAAGTAGGAGTGGAAGCAAAACTTGGTAAAATAACAATTTCAATAAAAGTGGATCAACTTATACATGTCTATTATTACTGAGGTTTCCTCACAGAGCTTTCAACACAAAGCCATGGCTTTGTAATTTGCAAACTAAATCGAAATAGAACACAATTGGAGCTAATATCTAAATTAGAACTTAACTTAATATGACACCCCTAATGCTCTTGCATGATAATCATTCTTAAGACATTCACAAGGTATGGGAGTATTGAGTATTATAATATTCCAAAAATATATGACATTCTGTATAGTTTTTTTTGCCAGCAAAAGCGGTTGTGCAGTACATGCAACGCAACACGGTACGCACAGGACATTACATTTCTTAGACCCAAATGAGATAAAATTGATATAATTTGAACCAGACCAGACAAAAAATCTTGGACATAAGACAAAAAGTACTGCATTTGCAAATTGAGCTTTTTGCTTTGTGATAGTTGATATTTTATCTTCTATAAGAGCAAGTGCAGAAGACCGAGAAGAAAATCACTAATTTGACATTGACTAGTAAACAGGGTTGCATACTTGAAACAGTCATATTGAAAACACAGATATCTTTTCTTGTTATAATATCAATACATAGGCCTCTGCACATCATTAACTTTTAAAATGAATCAAGAAAGAACACAAAACAGAAAAAGAATGACCTCCTGCTATAAATAATTAAAGGTAATCTGGTCCACCCTTTCAATCACAATCAAATCTTAAATGTCTGGTTTCAGAACAATTTGGTACCGTTTTCAGTACGTAAGGAAAGTAGACAATAACAATTCATTAAAAAGCAACATTGTCCATAAACAGCAAAGGCAATGGGGATAAAAGGGGCAACTCAGGATAGGTAGAATCCTCTCTGTAAAACATACAAATATTATGACAGAATGGCATAGTTTCTAGCATACAATCAATATATCACAAAAGAAGTTCTTAACAGTACTAACAAGGTCCCCCAGAAAGGAAAAGAGAAAATCATATCTTAAGTCAAAGAATTTTTCATTGGCACTCAAAACATGATTTGGTAACATGTCAAAATATAGTTTAGTAGTTTATTGATTTAATCCCCTCATAGATACAAAGAAATCAAAGAAAACTAAAGATACAAAAAGTACAAGCAAAAGTTCTTTGCTTAGTCAAAACCAAGATGATTGATGTTAATGACAGCCCCTAAGAAGAGACCAACCTTTATTTTGAGTTCTCAAAATATCTGATCTAATTTTCTCTAATATTTCTTTATTCACCAGCATTGAAAAATAGCTTCCATTTGATAAACCAGGTACCATATGTAACTGAAAAACAGTCACAAGATATATACAGTATAATCTAAACACAACAAACAAATTTGCTTTAACCAATAGTAATATTAACCAAATAATACTATAATTCATTGGCATTTCTTGAACAAATAGACTACTTTCAATATGAAATAAGAAATGCATATCAGTTACAAGCTGACTAGTGATTTACATAAGCATGTAACCCCTTGCCTTACCAAAAAGACAAAACATCAATGGGGATTTACGTGACGCTAGATTGTAATGATCATCTTATAAGATCTTGTTTGAAACGGTGAGATGTTTTGAAATCATCTCTCACACGTGAAGAGCGTGAATGTAATTTTCGGAATGTACAGTCTAAATTGTGCTGGGGAAACAGAGTTTCCAAAAATCCCTCAAGAAATACATACAGTAACCTTCGATTTAAGACAGGGTGCTGAAACATTTCAAAAACTCTCAGAAGACCTCTTCGCATTGTCTCATTGCCAATCACATGCTTGAATTCATCTGCATGAGCAACAATTGGGTGTTACAGAAGATTTTGTTCAATAAAATGGATCTCCAAATTTATTGTAAAAGTCAAAGCAAATTGTAAACTGAATAAAACTTACCTGATAGACTACAAAGGAGAGCAACTTTGGCAGCAACTCTAGTCCTCATTCGAGTAGCTTCATCTCTCGCTTGACGCGGTTCAGCTTTCATTCCACTTGGCCAAAACGCATGCCTACAATCAATCATTAATCATGAAAACAGTTTTGTTAACAGTAAAATACTGTACATCACAATCTTAACATCACACAACACCAAAGGCACGAGATCGTACTTGAATGCACGTAGATAATCAGCAACTTGTTCTGGGCTGGTCATTACAGCTACATAATCAACTATTCGGCGATTAACAATGTCACCAAACATAGTTCTAATAATTTGACGAAGTAATGTCACAATCCTGCGCCGCAGCCACTGGTTTCGCGATTTAAGATCAAATACTTCATCCATCAATAGAAGAATAATTCTGAGAGGAATGTTGTCATCAGTCTAAAATAAAAAATACAATTTAAAACCTAAAAATACAACATATGGGCATGGGCAATTCCAGGAAAAATTGTAAAAAATGTCCGTGCGTAAGGCGATTTGCGGCCGATTGAGAGGCACTACGTTCTTTTGCAATACATGTCCGGACTTGCAATCTCAAGACACGTCTGGTTATGTTTTGTGCAAAACCGTAGCACCGCTCAGTCAAATTGCGTTACGCACAAACACCCGTCTCTGGAGTTGCCCACACAATATTAAAAATAGGTAATAACAGAATTGATAAGGAAATAAGTTTCACACCTCCTGATCGATAGATGCACCAACTTTCATGGACTCTTCATCTATCTTGGACGGGTTTGGTTTAGTTTGGAAAACTTTACTAAGTCCATCCATTACTCCATCTACTGTGCTTAGTAAATTATCAGGCATAGATCTAACAGCTTGTCCAACAGTGCGCACTGAAGATTTTAATGGATTTACCAGGGTATCAAACTAAAATAAAGATACATGAAGAAAGAATGTATGTTAAACATAATTTTCTGAAATCTATTGTGGATGAGAAGATAATCAAAGCCGATCAAAGCTCTACCTGCATATATGAGCATTTACTTACCGTTCGAGAAATTTGCCCTCCTGTCTCTCCCTTGTCATATTCAGCTGGCTCAAAAAATGAAACAAGAAGTTGCAGCAAACCAATATGACTTGATACAACTCCAGGCTGTACTATAATTTGTAGATAGCTATTTAGCATTCTCATGCGTTTTTCTAGGACTGCACGATCCATATTGTGAAAAGTCTTCTTGCCAGGGAATGTCAGCTTTGCAAGATCAACATACTGTTTATAGACCGTAGAAAGGAATTGAGAGGAAGCAGAAATAGATTAACATGATGACTTGGTAGACAAATTTTAGAAAGATGTCGTAATTTTTGAAAGGACCATACCTTCTCTTTGATTTTTTGATGAAGGTCATAAAAATCTGAATACCGTCTCAAGACATGCCATTTTTCTTGATGATCTGATTCATAGTTCTTGCAAACAACCACACGATAGATGCCATAAACTTTTCCACGATCATTAAATAGACCTAAAGGTAAAAATACCACACAATGATTCAGTATATTTTTAATCCAATACTTCTATCAAAATCAATCTCTACCGTGATCAAAATGCTTGCACTAAGCCATGACGACATGACTCACCTGTTTCAGTTATCTCTGCTGTAAGAGTGAACACAACTGATAGAGGCTTCTTTATATCATTTGTTGCCAGGGATTGTAACAGAGCTTGCTTCGCATTCAACTGAGAGAGCTCAGCTGCCAACTGAGAACTTTCAACCACAGGGCCACAAGCTTAACAAACAAACAAAAACCCCAAAAATTATTATAAAGGACTTAGTAAATATCCAAATAAATAAAGCCACTTGATTCCACTTGTAATTTCTATGTTCAATAACTACCTTGAGAAGCATCAATAGCATCAAGTGAACTTAGACTGACATTGTCAGACAGACTCATTTCATCTGCTGAAACAGGGAAGTCCAAATCGTCATCATCACTCCGAGACCAGGTTTCCTTCAGAAGGTCCAACTCCGCCAGTAGTTTAACATAGCCAGTACTTCTACGGAAACTTGGTAGAAATTTTTCCTCATTCTAGAAGTAAAATAATTCACACTGCATATTTAAAAAAGAAACACCTCTGATTTTTAATGGTGCAGGTACCTAGAAATTTATTTCACGTACCTGAAGCTTCTCTAAAACATTGGCCTGAACGTCATCAAACCATGTCTCATTGACCATTTCTGTCCTTATTCTGAACAGTAGATGTTTCACTACTGTCTCATCTAGTTTCAGGCGGGGAGATGCCTGTAGAATTAAAATTCAGTACAGGTAAGTTAATTTGGTAAGCACATTTCGTTGATTTACAAATTCATAGATTATGCTAAAAATTATTCTTAAGAGTTGATAGGATGGATTAGACAAACCAACTACCTTTTCTGAGAGGTACTGTTCATATATGCTGTAAGCAGCTTCTTTCATATTATCTAGAGTTATAGAATTATTGCTGTCCAAATTACTATTGCTGGATTGTGAGCTTAGCTTCTGTAGTTCCATATCTGATATTTGATGCTCAGCTGATACTCTCCAGCCTAAAATAAAAATAAAAAAATATAAGGGGGATCAAAATCTATGCTTTCAAAATAATTTTGATATTGATAATAGTAACAAACCTTAACACAAGAGGAATAATGGTCTTACCTTCAACATTTAAATAAAAAAAGAGATATGCTTGAGTCCCAATACTAGTCATGTAGTCAATAAAGTATGACAGAGCAATATTATTTTTTAAAACAACATCAAGCGGCAAAGAAAACAATTTATTATTGGCACCAGGAGCAAGATATTTACTCCAATCTACATTTGATGGTAACCCTGGAAAGAAAAAATAAACAATTTACAGGATTATACTTCTGAAAACGTACATTCTGGTTAAATTAGGTTAATTACAATAGTACAGCCATATGAAAACTAACAGTGCGAACTTACCAACTGAGTCAGTTTCAGCACCCTCCTGTAATCGAGAGAGACGACTTTCTATAACTTTGCTCACATATAGGAGACTGCTTAGTTGTTGCTTTACCCAGATATCATCTTCTCCTCCAGAATCACGAGAACGCTGCAGACAATAATATTTCAAGGAAAATGTAACAAAATAAAAATGAAGACAGTCACCAGTCACTATATCTACATACCACTTGTGCAATGTCTTTGGAAAGCAATTCACTTGTTGCATGTAATTCATCTAAATTGTCAGTAACACGTAAAACTGTCATAAACACATCACTAGACATGGGCATGTCTCGACACTGCAATTAAAGTAGAAAATATTATTTCATTTTCTTAGGGAGATTCAATTGGGTTCATAATGTGATTTGACAGAAAATAATTACCAGCCAAATTATTGTCTGATTAATGTAATCTGGATCAGAGAACAAGTCTAACAAGGGAAGAATAATAGCCTCCACAAATAGCTCTCGCACCAAAAGCCTCAAAGGTTTGCAATGGAAATCTTCTTCCGGTAATAATATGAACAGAAGTATTTCTGCAATGTCTCGTAAGTATTCTAGAATAGAAGAGATAGCATGATTTAGATTTTAGGACTTCCTCCACACTGAGGAATATTTTATCACAGCACTTACGTTTTTCATGGTCGCTCTCAGTGCAAACGAGATCACGACACAAAAGGTTATCTTCCATGGTGACTTCTAAATCAAAAAATGCAGTCTCTAAATCTACAGGTACAGCGGGTGAAGCAGGAGTCACCCCAGTCAAACTGGAGACAGAGGTGGATGATCCCAATGACTGAGTGGGCGATTGATGTTTGTTTGGGCCAGGCTGAAGGTGATGAGCAGATAGAACAGAACTGCTATGCATCGGTGAAGTGTCCTGCTTAAAATTCATCACAGAAAGTCAGTCACATGTATTTTATGAGTTTTGGAAGTTTGTTGGGCATATTGAACATTTATCATCACCTTCCCTCCTGGTTTAGTATCAAACTTAGAACCACTTGCTTGTCGGCTATGACTTGGATTGTAAGCAACTGGAGGACGCTTCAGTCGAACCCTAGCTTGCCGGTAAAGACGTAAATGTGATGCAACATCATCCACTAATTTTGTAGTAAGATAGTGAATCCAGTCAACATCCTTTACCCTGTGTTAGTAGTTGTGGTAAGAGTAGTTTTAGTATGAACACAAAGTCAGACGTCAAGTACTTCTGATGTTAAAAAAAATATAGGAGGAAATTACCGAACATACCTGTTTGAAAAATTCACAATGACCTGCTGGGCAGTAGAACGAACCTGGTGGGGGAATTGGGGATGTGCGCTAACTCGATCATACCAAGGCTCAATTTGATCTCTGATAATGTATCCCAGAATTTCCTGAAGACTTTCATCAATAAGTTGTGAGCCAGTGAGTCTACGGTCTAGTTTATAGTTGGGAACAGGTTGAAGGCGACTGACAACCTACAATATAAAATATCAAGTTATCATGCAAAATTTAGAAATTAGAGCAGCATCAATAAAAGAATTCTTTTACCTTTGCCAATCCTGGTCTTGATGGCTGAACCATTGATCCTTCACCTTCATAATACTTGTCCATTACTGGGCCATTTTTCCAGTGTAACACCGTGAATGCCCTACAGGAGAATAACTAGTTACGACACACCAAACAAAGAGCAGAGAGACTTCATTATTTATTATATTACACTTACCCAAGGCAAAAAACAAAAAATAGAATTCCAATAGAGACAAGCCAAACTATACCAAATAACGGGAGGAACACTACAAGTCCCACACCAAAACATCCCCAAAATATTAAGTTCATCTGTAAACACACAAAATTGATAAACATTCGTTTTTGGCAATCTTCAAAATCATGATAATGGGCCATATTAGGTTAGGTCAAAATTCTGCTGTCATACTCACGACTGACAATCGGTTACAACTAATTTGATGTATTGCTATGAGTCCATTCCTGACAGTTAAAATATGTACTTGAAAATGACAGTGTCAACAAACTACGAAGTTAAACATTTGTTTTTGTTGTTTCTCCCTACTTGTGGCAGATATCGATACCGATTTTAGTTTCTCCGAGCAGAAAAATGCAGTGATTCCCTCATTTCTCGCATCACAAATTTGATGTTAAAGACGTAACCCAGTCAACTCAATCACTACATAAACTTTCATACATTTAAAATTCATTTAAAAGAAGAAAATTTTCTCAAAAAAACGCCACTCATCGGCATTTTGTTTGGTATTTTTATATTTGGAGGTTGCTTTGCTTGATTCGTGAGGCACGGCTATGAGAAATTTCTGACGTGTAGTCTTTCGTTTACCAACAGCAGCACCATGTGTTTCGGACAACGACTAGTATTTTGAAGCTAGATTTCCGTGAATTAGTTGATTACTCTGTCTTGAAACTTATCTTCACTTCTTAATGTTAATAGTCTTAGCTACTCTACATTAAAATGCCACCAAAACATAAAGAAAGGAACACCATTCGGGTAAGACTGAGCATAACCTCTAAGAGTTGGCCGGGAGCATGCCAAATATCTTTGTAAAACATGATTTTCCCCGGGTTGATTTGTGTCTCCTCTGTGTTTGTTCTTCAACCGACAGACCTTGCATTCTTAAATCGTCAGTAGTTGGTCACTGTCCCTGGCAAATGTTCTGTTTTGTCTACTTTCCTTCTGATATCATTATTTTTAATTTGCTTTCAGTTTCTTCCTTTCGCTGACCGTATTGCGAATGTGAACGTCGACGTCATCCATCGAATTGGACACAGAAATGAAGAATCTACAGAAGATGATATTGACTCATATTTTTACCAAGCTATAGAAAAATGGAATGATATGAACTGTTCACAAGGATGGAGTGAATTTCGTTCTGAAGTTAAAGATGTACAAACTCTAGCACAACTTGTGCTCCTGCGTGATCGAGTTGTTGCTTCATTATTAAATCATCTAGACAGAAAAGATCCTTTGACAGTACAGTCATTGCTTGAGTGAGTGCACTTAAACTTATTTTGGTTTAATTGTAATGAATTACAAAATGTACTTTATTTGATAATTTTCCTCCTCTGCAGTGTGGTTGTTGCTTTGGCAAGAGATCTGAGACAAGATTTCTATCCATATTATCCAGACTTCCTCTCTAAAATTGTGTCATACCTCAATTGTAAGGAAGCTGAAGTGTTAGAATGGTCCTTCCATTGTCTAGCTTATCTCTTCAAATTTTTGTGGCGTTGTATGGTTCGGAATATTGGACCTGTGCTCTCAAGTTTACTTCCACTTTTATCTTCTAAACGTCAGAAATACATTCATTATTTTGCCGCTGACAGCTTTGCATTTTTGGCCCGCAAGGTGAAAGATCAAACTGCTTTCTTAAAACTGATATTATCTCATTTAGAAGAACAGCCTGAGGTAAGCTTTAGTCTTTGAGTGATCCAAACTAATGCAACCAATTAATTTATAGAGTTATTTATCTATTGTTTTTAATATTTTAACACATTTAGGATGCCGAAGGTTGTGGACGACTTGTATTCTCATGGCTCAAGGGAATCAAAAACCAGCTTCATAGTTGTGCTCAAAATGTTCTTCTCATTATCATGCAGTCCTTGGGAAATGATTGCTTGTCTCCTGATACTCTTCATAATCTATTTTCTCATACATTGTCTCACCTTGTTGTAGAAATTCACCCTGGTGGGTTGACATATTTGTGGGATGCAATACAGGTATGTGTTTGCTGCCATAGTAAATTAAAAACTATACTACATTTTAATTTCAAAGTAAATCATTGGATTAAAATGATTTGATATAGGTAACGTTGAAGCAATTCTATTCTGCATGGAAATCTGGAAAGACTGAGGCTTCTGATGCCATTGTCAGGGTCTTGAAAGTGATTCACCAGTTGAGTAATCACTGTGAAGCAGTCCATGTGACGTCTCCCAACACATTGGTCGATCTCATATTGTCCATCTATGCTAGCCCATCCCAATTACCCGAAATTGTTCTTTCTGAACTATCAGCAATAACAGCTATTTTACTTATGTCACCATCAGTCCGTTTACCACAAGACCGTACTGTCAAATTAAGCTCCAAGGTAATTTTTCTTTTCATTCATACCTGTGTGTTCATTACACTATTGTTATCTTTCAAAATTTATCATATTTACTCCCTTTAGGTCCTTGCTAAATCACCACCCCACATCATTCTGGCTTTTGTCAAACAAGTCTTGAGCTGGAGTGCTCTTGACACACTTGTTCTGCCACGTCTTTTGGAAATTGTTGCTTCCGGTTTCATCTCTGGTGGTGATGATGGCCTAGGTCTTCAAATTCTAGCTCAACTTGTCCATTTTAAAGTACCCTCACTAAGTCAGAGTTATGAACATACTCCAAACAACTTCCTCCTTGATTTTACCTCAGCATCACAAAGGTAAATTTTGTTTGCAGTTATATAGGAAACACTTCCTGCCATTTCTATATGTAAGTCATAATTTTTTTCTTTTCCTTACAGTGCTGGTTGTGATGCACTAGACATCTCTAGCAAGTTCTTGGCTGTACTTGATACTCATGGGAAAATGAACCCAGATGACTACCTGGAATCTTTTAATGAAAAGATATACGCCTTACTTGTCTTACCTCATGTGAGACCTCTTAATGAAACAAAAATCCAGAATATTTTACAGAAACTCTTGCTATTTTTATGCCAAGACATTAAAAACACAACATCAATTCTGGAAAGTTATAATGGTAATTTGTTTTTTAATATTTTTAAACAGTGTCTTTTGTGTGCGTTTTCCTCTCCAGTTATTTATATTCTAATGATCTACTTTTAATATTTCTTTACAGAGAGAAACAATGAGAGACTAAAAGCTGAAAAACTACTCTCAAAGTTGTTACTTTTATTTGTTGTTTCTCTTGAAGCTGTCATCAGAATGAATGGTGCAAACAAAGATCTCTCCTCAGTTTTTTCAGTTGACTTATTGCTGGAAACATTGCTTCCACCATCTCAACTTGGTTGCAGCCAACTATGTGCACTTCGTGCTTTAAATCTCTACCTACGTCATGTAGAACTGACAAACATTAAGGATTCTGGAAGTTTCTCTCTCTCTATTTATGAGAATCTGAAATTGAATCTGACCTCACCCTTCCATTCGGTTTGTTACAACCTTAGTTCTTTCTTTGTATGAATGTACGTATCTGTGTTGAGATTTTGTGTCCTATAATTACTTCCTGTCTATTGATTTAGGTTCGAGAGATTACTTGCCGTGTTATGTGCCAGCTGCCTTTAGCACCAGAGCTTCACTCTATGTTTGGTTTATGCCTGGAAGCTGAAAACACAGCAGCTACAATTACTGAATACAGAGACAAACTTCAATATTTTCAAAAGCTTTCATTTGAGGCCACTCAACCATCTCTCATTAGACATTCTAGCTACAAAGTGGTAGGTCATTCTTATTCAGATAAAAAGTGTGTGTTTTTTTGACATCTATAAAAGATAAAAACTAATAATAGTATTTTTTTTGTTTTTAGGCACCCCTTTATTTTATTTTGGGTTCACTCTATGTGAACTTTCAACTACTATGGGAACCCCTCCAACTCCTTGTGACCTCATATGCTTCAGGCATGACACCTGCTGACTTTTGGCCAGTCTTTCATGGGCATTTGACACTAGCTACAGAACAGCGTGATTTTACACCGTTGCATAATGTTGCACATGAAGTTGATTATGACTGTTAGTGCTGTTTATTTCATATTTTATCCTCATTATCATCAATGACTATGAACTCCTAATTACCCGATGATGTATTTTGTATCATATTTTAACTTTGTTACAGCTACATTAGTCAATGATTTACACTCCTCTCTAAATTCAGTTGATGACAAACCTGATCATGCTCATTATAGACTTCTGCTCTGGCAGGCTACCCATAGTTTTCCTGAAGTTTGTGAGAAAAAAAATCGTGACATTGCTAGTTATTTTTTGACATTTATGGAGTAAGTAGTTCAGTTTTTCTAATATATATATTTTCATACCTTGAATTGTTATTTATTTTTCAACTGATCACATCAATTTTAGAGAGGAATACTATCGATCTAATGCTGAGGTGGCTTCTGTGTGGGACATTAAGAAGCACAATAATGAAGATATTCCCATGGATGAAAATTGTGAACATACTGAAGCTAAAGAAGAAGAGAGTGGTGATGACGATGAAAGAGGAGAGAATGAAGAAGATCATGATGATGAAAATGAAGATAGTACTGATGCAACAAAACAGAGAAAAAAGAAGAAATCAGATTTAGACCCAGAAACAAATTCTGATGAGAAACCCTCTGTCCGTTTGTTAACTAGGTAAGCCAAGCCAAGTAATTAATGAGTTATGTAGTTGTAACAATTGTTAGATTTCCCTCACTTACCTGTTGTTTTCTAATTGTAGGACTCTTCTTGCACATCTGGGGCTCTTATCAAAAATGCGGGCTCCTCTCGTAATGTACAGAGAACCTGAGTTGAACAGAGTATATCATGATTTGCTTTCCCATAAAAACCCAGATATACAGAAAGCAGCTCTAGAGTGTGTTTTAACATACAAACACAAATATCTTGTCCCATATTCTCAACATTTGTTTTCTCTGATTGATAATAAATCTTTTAAAAATGAAGTTACTAAATTTAGAATAGACAAAGATTCTGGTATTATTCAGGAAGAACATAGACCTCAACTTATACCTATCGTTATGAAATTGGTGTACAGTAAAATGGTGGCAAAGACTGGAATGAGAACTGGAGGAAAGGCTGGTCCAGCAATGAGACGTGCTCTTGTATTTAGATTCCTAGCTGGTTGCCATGAGGAAGAAATGTTAATTTTTGTGAAAATGGCGTTCCGATTCTTTGACAAATATTTGAATGGTATGTATTATTTATTCATGTTTTTGCATTATGAAACCACAAATTGTTTTTAAGTGCATTTGACTTAATATTTTTTTTATTTTTTTTAATTACAGAAAATGTGGCTCTAATGGTTGAATCAATTCAGTCTAATATTGACCTGGAAAAAGTTATACCTCCTCGTCGACTCCAAAGTGTAGTAAATCTACTGGCTGTTGTTCAAGAAAGGTTTGGAGGTTTAATGGGTAATCGTTTGTTGTCTTTAACACTACAACTACTCACTTGTGTTGGAGCAACAGTTGATGGAATTCTCCAAAAGAGGTATGTGATTTGCAGTATATGAAAATGTATACTGTATTCCTTTATCTACATATTTGGATGTATTTCAATTGAAGAATTGACTTGTAATTCCTAACCATCTTCTCTTTAGGGATGAGATTCATGCTGGTTTCCTTAATATTCTGCGTGGTCTCCGCACATCTTGTATCGACGTGCTTACTCAATTCTTCGACCGGTTTGAGGCATATCCATGGACTGCCTGTGAAATAGACACAGTCCTGCGAGTGTTTGTTTCTCCACTTGTTGACCGTCTTCCTATTGAAGGGGTACACAGTCCAACTGCGTTAATGAAGCTATTTGTTGTTTGGAGTCAGCATCCGAGGTCTGCTTATAAAATGTTTTAACAACCCTAAGAGTGTTGTCAACTTGTTAACTTATCAAACAAATTTTCATTTTCAGATATTTTATTTTGTTTGGAACTCATGCACAAAATTCAATGAGCACAAATCCACTGTCAGCCATTATGAAGTTATTACTTGGACCTAAAACAAACCAAACAGTTTGTGGATCTATAATGGAAATACTTGAAAACTTGTTGACTCTGAAAGACCATAAACAAATAGATGAAAATGACATGGAAGTGGATGAGACTCATTTGGAAGAAAGAGCACCCCGCATTCAAGTTTCCCATGTCTTGTCACTGAATGAAAGTGAAATCAATAACTTGAACTGTAAGTAGACTGTAGGATTTGGTTGTAAAATAATGTTGTATTGTCTCAAACTAATAATTTTGTATCTATAGTATCACAAGCAGTGAACCTAGGAAGCAAACTTCTGTTCCCCCACATAAGAAGTATACTCGAAAGATTTAGGATACGACTTGCTGCAAATATCAAGCGTGGATCTGGCCTGAACCAACAGGAGCTGTTGGTACTCTCTTACGTGTCTGAGTTTGTTAGAGCACCAGACACGAGTGCTACCTTGGCACAGCTCATTCTCCCTATATTGACAAGGCGAATATCTACTCCTCATGAAGATGAGGAAAATGTGCTGAAAATGATGAATACTCTCAATCATTTGGTGAAGAATGTGAAGGACCCTCATATATACATACGGTAGTTATTTTATGTTCATTCTGTATTTTTCTAGTCTTTCCCAGTTCAAAGATAATTTGATTTGTAATTTTCTATCATTGTAGGCCAATAGCCGCCTTGTTCAGCTGTGTCAATGGTGTAGCAGGTCGAAAAATGCTCATATCTTTAATCAACACTATTGCTGAGGCTACTGCCTCTCTGTATAAGAATTTAAAAGAGGAAATGGAGTGTTTAGCACTTGTTGCCAGCAATCTGAACGCATATGACAAACGTTGGGTGGAACAGCCTAACTTTGATACTAGACTTGATGCCTTCAAAACAATTCAGACATTGTTAGATGAAGGCAAACTCTCTGTTGATTTGGGGGTTATTGTTATTCATCACTGCTTTTATGTCATTCGTTCGGTAATGTATCTTCAAAACAATTGTTTTACCGTTCCCATAAAATGGTCTGAATGATTTTTACTAACTAGGCGTTTCTGTCATTAGGATAAGGACATGTCGCTGCGTGACTCTGCTTCACATTGTCTGCGACGCGTTGCTCCCATGCTCAGTCTTCAGTTCAGCAGTGATGAAGCCGCCTGTAAATTTCTTGTTGATACAACTATTTTATCCCTTATTCGAAACTCTATTAACAAAGATAGTTCAGAGAACCTACATTCTGAGGGTGTACTGCTTCTTGGAGTAATGGTTTGTATAATCAAATATCCTCTTCTTCCTTATTTTGGTGTGTACATGATCATATATCTGTATGCTAATATCATTATCTCTCATTCATGATAGGCAAGGGAGTGTGGTATGTTACATCCTGTTCTTAGAGATCTAAACCTTCTCACTAATAAATTGGATGTTGAAGTAGATTTCTTTGAGAATCTTGAACATTTACAACTCCACAGAAAAACTCGTGCAATACTAAAGTAAGTGTAAAATACTAACTGCATCTTTACATCCATAAATTTGAGTTTTGATCTAAATGTTGGAATTTATTTTTAGGTTTTGTGAAGTATTTCTGTCATTAGAGAAACCACCTACTACAAGGACTTTAACTCAGTTCATCCTACCCTTGGTTTCTCAGTTCATTAGCTCAGAGAAATATGCTAGCAAAAACAGCTTGGTTGATGCTGCTGTGAAAGTGAGTGACAGCAACTGATTGACAATCTTTCTTTTTTTCCAAAGTAGTTCTCCTATCTAAACTTTTTTATCCTTTTTCAGGCCATTAGTGTAGTTTCTCGATTACTACCATGGCACCAGTATGAAGCTCTTCTCCGATATTATTTAGGCCGACTTAGAATGAGTTCTTTGTTCCAAAAGCAACTTGTTCGAATTGTCATGAATATTTTAGATGCTTTCCACTTTGATCTATCCAAAGCACAAGTGAAAAAAATGGTAGATGGTCAAGCTCCATCTAGTTCTCAAGCTGTCAGTGTAGCCAAAGAAAAGGCAAACGATACAAGTGATTTTCTATCCTCTGATGAAGGCAAACTTAATGGAATTGAAGAAAATGGTGACCATAGTGTGATCGCTGATCTAGAAGAAGAAATGGATGTTGAAGAAAACAAAGATGATGAAGTTGAAATGGAAACTGAGGAAAATGAACCCCAACAAATTAAATTTGCTGTTGAGAGACAGATAGTTTTATGCCCCTCTGCTGCAACCCGTGTGATTCAAACAATTACACATGGTCTTCTTCCTCAGTTGCATAGAGCACTTATTGCCAGAACTCTCATTGAAAGTGTTCACAAGGTCAACAAGAAGCAAATAAGAAGTACATACCATGACCGAGATGCAGAGGAGGAAGAAGTTGTCAGAGTACCAATGGCATTAGCAGTTGTAAAACTTCTGCAACGGCTACCCAAGGAAATGCTTGTTAAAAATTTACCGGGGGTTTTGATAAAGCTGTGCACATTTTTGAAATCACGTCTTGACTCTGTGCGACGTGTAACAAGAGAGACCCTACAAAAAGTGATGATTTCCTTGGGTCCCTCTTTTTTAAGTACACTTCTCCGAGAAATGACAGCTCTTCTCACAAGAGGATTTGAAGTTCATGTACTGGTGTTCTCTATTCATTCAGTTTTAATAGCACTCAAAGAGGTTTTTGCAGCAGGTGACATTGATGAAAGCCTTCCATATATCATTGAAGTTTGCAAGCTTGATTTGTTTGGTGCTGCTGCAGAAGAAAAGGAAGAAGGCAAGGTAGCGTCCAAACTCCATGAAGCAAAGAGTATCAAAAGCTATAATACTCTTCATGTAACAGCTCAGTTTGTTAGTGAAAGTCATCTTACCAATTTATTAATTCCTTTCAAAGAAATTATTCAATCAGCCCACTCCCACAAGATAGTAAACAAAGCAAGTGAATGTTTACGTCAAATTGTGTCAGGCCTTTCAGAGAATGCACTGGTGTCTGCATCTGGCCTTCTTATATTTGCTGTTGGTGTTGCCAGTGAATGTATTCCTGCTTTATCACTTAAGCAGCGGAAGCATGAGAAAACTCTTAAGCAGAAAGAAATTGAAGCTCGCCGCCGTCCAGACTGTTTTATTATTAAGGAAGCTCCAAAGCAACGCACTGGTATTACCAGCTCCGATGCTGCTAGAGTAGCTGCACGAATGAATGCTCACTTATTTGTAGAGTTTGGTTTAAGATTGATTTACTTTCTCCTGAAGCACGAAAAACTAAAGGAGAGTGGAGAAGATGTACGGCCACTTATTGATCCAGTGATACCACTTTTTAAGTCATGTTTATCATCTGAACACGTCAAATTGAGCATCATCTCACTCCAATGTCTTAGTTGGCTGTTGCGCATTGACCTGCCTAGCTTAAGAGATAATATAGCCGATATAACTTCCTCAATATTTGGTTTACTGCATAAATTTGCTGCTGCTGGATTGAGTAAAGGGGACAATTTTGATCTTGTTGTAGCTGCATTTAAAGCTGTTGCTGTCCTTGTTAGAGATGTAAAATACCACACTCTAAGCCAAGAACAGTTGAAAGCCTTGTTGCTGTATGCTGAACAAGATTTATCCGACGCAAATAAGCATGCCACAGCATTTGCTCTCTTGAAGGCAATCCTCTCAAGAAAATTGGTTGTCCCTGAAATTCATGATGTTATGGATAAAGTTGCAACTTTGAGCATCACGTCTGATCTTCCTCATGTGAGAGTTCAAGCCAGAGTAGTTTTCCACCAATTTCTGATGGACTATCCTCTTGGTAAAAAGCTAGAGGGACATCTCTCTTTTTATTTGTCACAGTTGAACTACGAACTTCAACCTGGTCGAGAGTCAGCTTTGGAGATGGTGAACTCGGTGATAACTTCTTTCCCTGTTCATGTTCTATCAAATCATTCTGGACTGTTTTTCCTTATGCTGGGAGCCAGGCTTGTAAATGATGATGCTCCAGAGTGTCGTAAAATGGTGGCACAGTGTATCAACAAAATGCTTGGACGTTTAAGTAAGAATGATCGTGATCGTTTGTTTAACATAAGCCTTCTGTGGCTCAGGGATAAGCAAGTATCCCATCGTCGACTTGCTGCTCAACTCTGCGGTATATTTGTTGTTTGTGAAAAAGAAACATTTAGAAGTCATTTGTCTGATCTTCTACCTGCTGTCATTGCACAGTTTTCTTACAATGCAACTGAAGAGGTCAATCATGAACCAGGAAAATTTGTCAGAGCACCAAGCAAGTCTTTTGAAACTCCAACCATCAAATCAAGACACACAGAAGATCTCAACAGTGAAGAAATTTGTAATGAGACCAAGAAGAATATATCTGAAACTGAAAAGATGAGAGATCATCATGTTTATCAAACATTGCAACTAGTTATCAAAATATGTAATTATTGCCCTTCATGGCTTTCTGACTCAGAGTTCAGTGACCATGTGTATAATTTAACTGAACATACACAGGCCTTGTTGGCACATCCTCATGAGTGGGTAAGATTATCAGCAGCTCAAATTCTTACCCACATCTTAAATTCTCTTGACATGGAGTCACTTGCTAATTCTGTCAATGAAGACAGTACCACAGCTGTGAAAACTCAAGATAAATCAAAGTTAGGATTCTTTGTAGAAAATGCAACCTCAAAACTTCGATCAATGATTCTGGATCACTGTGCTCAATTTACTCCAGGTGTAGAAGTTGGGCAACTGTTGCTGTTGCAAGTTGTTAAAAATCTTGTTATATTTGCTGACATTTTAAAAAATACAGCTGGAGAGGAAGTGGTTTCAGGTTCAAGTGCCTCAAATGGAACTGAAATGAATGAGAGACAAAAACCACTCTCATTAATGTGGCTTGTGAAAAGAATGAGAAGGGTTGTCAATATGGAAGTTGTTCATGCTCCAAAGTCAACTGCTATGGTAAGCTTCCACAAACTTTTCTCTTACCTGATTTATTTCAACTTTGTAATATTGAACACATTATAATTAAACATCTTCGTTTTTCAGCGAACCATGGTTTTAAACTGGACTGCTGCTGTAGTTGTAAAATTAGGTGCAGATTGTATAAGGCCTGTGCTGCACCATCTGCTTGCTCCCATTGTTCGCGAACAATCCAGTGACGAGCCTGTCCCTGAAGGAAGTCCTGTAGCAAATTTACGAACTCTTGCCAAAGAAGTAGGCAGTCTAATTAAAAAGACAGTTGGTCATGAGTACTTTATTAGAACTCAGACCCGGTTACAGACTCAGATCACATCAGTCCGTGCAGAACGCAAGATTAAACGCAAACATGAGGTTGGTACCATACTATAGGTATAGGTTGAATATTTAGTATTGTTAACTGGAAGAATTTTGGGTTTAATGAAACTTTTAAATATGAACAAAAGAAATAATTGTTGACTTTCTTTGTCTTCTTATAGGCGGTGGCTGAACCAGAAAAAGCAGCAAAACGAAAGATTCAAAAGCAGGCAAGGAAAAAAGAATCGAACAAACGGCGTCAATTGAAGCTGCGAGGTAAGAAATTCAAAGGCAAAAGAGAGGTTTCTCTTGAAGATGACTAATTCATTACTAATTAGAGTATTAGACATGTGACTGGTTTCCCATTACACCATGTGGTTATGAAATATGTGTATAAACTGTTGATGTATATAATTTTTAGTCAGATTAAACTATGTTGTGTAAATTATGATATTTATATGAATTATACATAGCGTATTACCGTGCGGGAGGTTCTCTTTACCTTTATGCTCTTTCATGCTGAATAGGTCGATAAGGTGTAAGAAGGTATGACTTAGTTGTTTTACAGATTGTTAAAAAAATTCAAGGACTTGTTTTTGATTTAGAGGGTTTGGAGAGGGTGTTGATGGGCTAATCTCGGGAAGCAATAAAACCACTGTTTTGAAACAATTATTTTATTTCCTTGGAGGGGAAAATAATTTTCAAATCACACAAGTACAACAACATCATATTTGTAATAAATGGGGGATATGTGTATAAAAATTTGATGCATTTGAGATACACAGATAAATGTTACCATGAACCCAAAATATGCACAAAATCACAAGAGTATGACCACAAAGTCATGGCATGGTAACATCTTAAAGTGTTGCAAACACACCCTTAAAACCATTCATGTTGAGCAAATTGGCAATTTTCTATGAATTTAAATACACCTGTTCTGTTAAAAATAATAACAGGTTAATACTTTAGCATTCATAAACTGCCTTTCATTACTTAAAACTCATCCAACAGAACATCATAAATATACCTTGCAGGATTTTTTTTCTTCAATATCAGAACTGCACAAAGCTGCTTAGTGATAAAATATGGCAACTTCACAAAATTTGGGGAAACAATCTAATTACTTTGAGCACAATAGTATTGAACTAGTTGGACTAAATGTAACTGGCCTTGCAGTTCCAAAATAATATAACATTTGATATTCTAACTTTCAATGCACAATTAAGTAACCATGGTACCAACCTTTAACTCTGTTACATTCTACTAAACATATAATCACAGACGCAATGCTGTACGAGATTTCAAGATTAAAAGAAATCACAATGTCATCTTGCCAGTTAACTTGTAAAATAATTTAAATAAAACTTGCATCATAGGCAGAGTATATCTACATTACTGTAGGGAGGTAAATTTTAAGAATTACATCAAAATAAATACAACTGCAATCTCAAAGAAGAAAAAAAAATTAAAGGATAGGACAAGAAAAGGGGGACAAGGTTGACATGAAAAGGGAAATGTGCAAAAAGATGGACAAGAAAGTAAATCTGGGTGAGTACTGCCTATCTATTTGCCTACATAGCTTATTTACACATGTAACCATCAGACTGGACAGCTCACAGCGCTATCACATACATTGTTGGACTATAAAAATAACAAACACAAAACATCCAAGACATAAAAACAAGCGTCATACATTGTACATGTACAGATAGTAGTAAATTCATAAAATAACAAAATGTTATTCATGCAATAAATTGTTTCTTTATATTCCTTGTGAGCTAGTAGTAATTTATCTAACTGATATATAGCAACTACTGTAGAACAGTAATTGAAGAGAGCAATCCCTTGTCCAACACAAGGACTTACTAAAGCGTTAGCCATACAGAAATATCTGACGGAATGCCACTAATTCAAAACACATCACAAGTGGCTCACAATATAATTTTTTAGTACGTGCAATTAGGCACTACTCTTAATAACCAGGAAACAGAGACTACAGCACAAAGGTACCAGCACAAAATGATACATTAAAAATTCTGAACAAATTTGGTTCGCTACAAAATTGAACCCACTATAAAACATGACAGCATTTTTCCAAGAAATTGCTTCGGAGGTACACAACTCATTAAGTATATAGGTGTTTATGCCGACAACTTCCTCCTCTTTCATCTCCCACTGGGAGATCAACAAAGAGCAACAACACCATAATTAATGGAAGGATTGAAGAGCACATCATGAAAAGGTTAAATACAATTCATGTCTATCAAGCCTGCCATTAAATTATGTAGTAATTTCAACCCTTACATCTTGATCCAAAGAAATTTTGAACTAAGTGCACAACCACAGTGTGTTTTCCAGTGTGATAACACAGTAGGACAATATTGCACTTCATGGTAAGGGATGGTTAGACAAGAATGTCTTGAGGCACTTTCAGAGTCAATTTTCTTTTTAGCCCCTCTTCACCTTAAGCACAACCATACTGATTGTAAGGAATAATGCAATCCAGATAATGGTGGCAAAGAAGCCGTTGTACACATCAGGTTCAGATATCTTCCAGCCACGTGTGAGCATACTGCGAAGTGATGTTGTTGCCATTGTGAGAGGCAAACCGAGAGAAATGTAGCGCAGCACCACAGGCATTCCCTCAACTGGCCAAATCACACCTGAAAAACAGAGTACATTAGCAGCAGTTCAAAGCATGAAGCGGCCAATGACTTTATATTTAAAAAGACTTACCACTGAGCAGAAGGGTTGGATAGAAACTCCCTAAAGCCAATTGAATAGCATTCCTTTCAAGCTCACAAATCGCTGAAATAACAAAGCCTGAAAAAAGAAAAATTCAACAGTTAAATGGAATTTCTTCCTTATTTGTGTTTAGTATTTTAAGGTTCATCCAGAAATGCTTACCAAAGCACATTCCACAAAGACCCTGCAGGATTGTAAGGATAATGACCCAGAACATGTCTCCTTTGCATTCTACTTGGAATACAGCAATCATGAATATAAGGACGAGAGCAGTCTGCCCGCACATGACGACGAACTGCGTGACCACGTGCGAGAACAGAATCTCGAACGGCGACACACCTGAAACACAAAGCGCGGGTTTAAAACAAGGCAATTAGTAGAAGACAAAGCTCGTGTTGTGAGTGGGGCACTGCCAATGCTCACCTGCGACCCAACTCCTGTCGAGCAGTCCCTCCATGCGCTCGATGATGAGGGCGGAGGACGTGAGGGCCACGGCCAAGAAAAAGACGATGGTGAGGATCACTCCAGGAGCCACGAAGTCGGTGAAACTGGGGTTGTTGCTACCGTAAATGGGCTCCTTGAACTGAAATACGAAGCAGAGGGAACGCGTCAGGATCGTAGCCACGAACGGCGCGAGAAAGTGGGCACGGTCTCCACGCAGAGCATAGCGCCTGACCAGAGCAGGGTAGGCGCACCCGCCCGACAGCTGCGCGCAGCGGCTGGCCTATCCCAGCCCCTAACGCTTGACCGAGGCAGGGTAGGCGCACCCGCCCGACAGCTGC